TATTCTTGGAGAAATAAAAGTGCTTCTAATGACTGACAAAGATCTGTGAATTCTAATCGTCTTGAATGCAGTTAGTACATTCATTCGTATTCAAGCTAACTATAAAATAAATGAACGGTAAGGCATATGGCGTTGATCAATCCATGAGATATGCACCATTGATTGAATACATATCTGGCCTTTACATTGACTCGAGGTGGCGCCCCAACTTCACAAAGCTTGCTTTCTCTCCTGGTTTGGCAAGTTGGTACTAGACTTCACTGGGAGGAGAGGAACACTGGATCGATACATCGGTAAGCCACCTCGAGTCAATGTAAAGGCCAGATATGTATTCAATCATTGGTGTATATCTCATGGATTGATCAACGCCATGTGCCTTACCGTTCATTTATTTTATAGTTAGCTTGATTCATGAGCAAAAAGTATTACTTGAAATCCTATCCATATCAAAGAATTTCATTTTAGCTTTGTCAGACAATCTACTGCCTTCAACTTCGTCTTTTGGGATCACCATAGTTCAATAATTCTAGAAATATATGTATATATAAGTAACGAGTTGATTTACCATTGCAAGCATGTTGGTGAATGGGAATCAAACAAAGTCCCCTATGGGCGGATAGGGAACAACGAACACAGTACAAGTGCGAACTCGTCCACAGATGGTTTATTCCGGAAATAAAAACCATAGTGAAAAAACGCTGTCAGCCTATAACTAGAAAAATTAGTGCTTTTATATATCACAATAAAAAAGTAAGGCTAAGGGATGGCAGAAAATCAAGGAGCGAACTCTAGCAACCCGTATCGAATAATCCCCGCAATAAATTCACCAATAAAACAATGGGCGAAAGGTTCAGGAAGCTCATAGAAACACCAGTTTTTCGTGGAATGTTAAATGGAGTGATGCTCTGCTTTGCAAATCTTATCAGAACTACCTAATAATAAGTACCAGTTGATGCTACAGTAAATACAACTGGTGTGGTGATGATTTTGGTAACTTTGAAAAGAAGCAGGCAAACAACTTTGTGGACATTTCCACAATGTTATGAGATATCGTGTAGTCTGTTTAGCTATTTATCCACTTCCCATTATTTTTAATCGGTAGGGTATTATGTGAAATGCGACCAGAATGATGCTGAATTATTTGCAAAACTTGGACCCTATGGCAGATTGGAACCTGTGATTACCGCTTCCGGGTGATCACGTGTTGCGCACTGCTCCACTGAGGCCCTCGCTTTGGCCTCCTCTTAGCCAATTCTTTTTTTACCCTAGCGGTACCATCAGAAATCACCTGTCAACGGAAATGGGGTGAAAAAACTTTCACAAAGAAAGGCAGAGCGGGGACCTCAGAGGTGCACGGTGACGGGGTGACCCGCTGAAAGGGTAATCCTGAGTTCAAGTCTGGCCTGGGTTCCAAGTTTTGTAAATATCTCAGTGTCATTGTGGCTATGTCTTTCAGTCTTTTTCGTTTTGCTCCGATGTTTAAAAAAGAAAAAAGGACTGTTATGACCATAAAAGGGTGAAGTAATTCTGAAATTAGATGTTATGTCGTTGTACGAAGTACTAAAAGGAACAATCACGATGAATCACGGCTTTTAAGCTTGATTTCCCAGATTTTCGGAAGCAGCAACTAGGCTTTGGCATAACTAGGAAGCGATGATACCAAAAAAATTTTCTCCATTTTTGTGTAAAACAGTGGAGATTCCTCCTTTTTTTCAGATACGACAGAACGACTAACTAGGAATACCAAGAGCTCATAGTGGATTGTTTCCAAGCTTAGAAATTTCTCACTAAAGGCATAACAGTTGAGAATACACGATTTCTATAAAAGCTAATGCAACACTCATTTCAGTGCAATTTCTATGTAATTTTTCTAATAAAGCCGTAGCAATTCTATTCATTACATCAGGAATTATGCGAACAGACACAGGTCCTTCAGTCTTTCAGTCTTTCAATACTATGGCGAATACATGCTGTTCATCAGTTTCCACCACATTCATAATAGGCAGTGGATGCGCTTCGGTGCTGAATACACACTGATCGAGTAGAGTCACCGATTTGTCAGTGAATGTTAAATACGCATATCGGCAGGAAAAAGTGATTGTTGAGCATCGTTGCGTCCCTGAAATACTATTTTTTTCCCGGAAGAACATTTGTGAAGAGAAATACGAAATCCTGATGCAAACATACCTAGAAAGTCCTTTCCTGCGTAACGTGCTATCCTTAGGAATCTTCTTGTTTATTTCATTCTCTTGCCACCGTTATTCAAGCAGGTAGACAGATTTATGTGGGCTGTATGTGGTTTCAACTGTAGCCAGACGGTATCCACTTCTATGTGATGTGTTTAATACTAGTCGAGAGTTATTTTCAAGATATGCATGTTACAACCGAAGATATTTTTTACTATTTTTGAATCAGAACTTTTCTGGCTACCTTCTGAGTAGAATTTTTTTAAGATGGTAGCGAGTCCTGTGGTAATAGGGATACCTGAGAATAACCAACTGACCGACCAACGCCTATACAACTGCAACGTTTAGTCTGAGTATAATTTGAACTTTCTTTTTAGGTTTATCGAAGCAAAAATTTTTAAGGTGATAAAGGATACAGGATAAAGCTCTCGGCGTTTATCAATCACTGATGGATGCGCCGTGCATTCGGATTCATCAAGCATCGTTTGAGGTGACTGAATGCATAAATGGCCTATACATTGACTCCTAGTAGACTACTGATGCATCAAGCCAGTGTTCCTGTTCTCCCAGACAAGTCTGCTACAGCCCGGTGGGATGGAAGGCTTGGTGTGTTTAGGGCAAAGGATCGGACCCATGTTTAATGCAGGGCATCTCTGACCACAGCGTCACACGGTCCCTTCTCTAGGTGATAGGTGAAGAAATAGGGTTCCTATGGAAAAGATCTAGGGCAGACTTTGGCCAGGCTGACCTCGGGATTCCAGGAAAGCACAATGGCTTACCCAGTAAGTCTCCGATAAATAAAGAATTTACTGGGATCGGCACAACCAGTGAGGACGGGCCGTTCAAGTGACAAGTGTCATATAGAGCCGTAGTGTTCCATTATTATCAGGTGAATACCGATCGTTCCGATTGCGTCGCTCTAAGATACTACATTCTAGTTGTCGATATCACTCTCAGTTCTGAGAAGAGTAAAACTCTACATTTACGATAGTAATGCGTACCAATTTATGTTTTGTAGATGTAATGAGTTCAGAGATTTTCGTTAGAGCTTAGAGGAATAAATATCTCATCAACTCGAATCTGGTGTCACATTGCCTGTGAAAAGGATTTACAAAATTCGTTGTGTTTTGCCACCGAACAAAGTTCAGTTTATGTAATCCTAAATCTACATACACACATAGTACGGGAAGAATCATGTCATTCTTAATTGTTCATCGCAGCATTTTTTCAAATCATTTTGCTAACTGATTTCTCTCTTTCTAATGGAATGATTTGGCAGTTACTTAGACACGAAGCCGATTAGGTAATCTTCCTCCACATGTCGTGCTAGGTTTAGTATTTCTATTTGCCACATTATCTTTTCTTCATGCATGGAAGGAATCGGATTCTTGTCTGGGCTCGAATAACTACTGCTTGAGGACTTGTAATCTTCTTTTCCCGCTGACATGTTGACTGCTGAGCGAATGTGTTTTTCAATGGACTCCCGAGCAAGCTGTTATAAAGAGTTCTCAAATCTTCACCACAGGGGGTTGCAAGGATTTTTGGATCGGAAGGAGGCTTGTTTTCTTGCAACTCAGATTCTTCCAAAATGGAAGCGAATCCTTCATTTGGAGAATCGATCACTGGAAAACGTTGTGACAAGTGCTAGTGTATTGAAAATATTATTAAAACGCGGTCTAGTTTTAGTAGGGATTTTGATACTGTAACCTTATTGTAATATGCTGGACGGATGACTTTGTTGTGATCGTGTCTCGTTGTATCTGTTTCAAAAAGCGGTGAATTATTAGGAGAGCCTTCCTGTGACTATTTGGCGCATTTCAGAGTGGTGCTTGGAACTTCTGTAACGGGATTACCGGCAAATGGAAAAATTCTATCTTTTTTTCCTCATTGAGACAAATACAACGGAAAAACTTGTTAGCTATTCCCAATCTAAAATTCAGAATAAAGGAGATTATAGCTCTTCTCTGAAGCAGGCGATAATGGCATTCTCCGTGAATCGATGAAAAGGAGCGATTCCTTGGGGACGGTCTATTCTGTGATCCGACTCTTCTAGTGACGTGCACTTGCTTTAAAGAATCTGTGATACGTTGCCGCTATTTTACGAAAACTACACTAATCCTCGCGCAGACTTCCGTTGTATTCTCTATAGACTATGGAAAATTAAATTGCCTTCAATTTGTTCCCGCTCCGTTTGCTTCAAAATGATTCACGTTGATGTATATGACCCAAGCTCTCACATGAAGTGACATATTTTAAAGCCGTCGATAAAAATGATAAATGCTTTCATGTCGGTTGCAACTGAGATTTATGTGGGCAACGAGTTCAGCGCATTCGAATAAGCCATAGTGCAAAGCAATTGCTTTCATTTCCTGTAAACATTGTTTGTTCTCAATTTATGGGCGTCAAATTCTCAACATTTCCGTACGAAACCGATATGAGGGCGAATCTACACGGGAAATCGACATGGAATTTCAAGGAACAGGACTGGTCGCTCCACATATTATTCTCATTCTTCATACATGCCCATTTGTCAAAAAATGCCCAGGGGGGGTCCCACACTTTGCCATACCACTCAATCATTCTTATTTCATGGCAGTTCGAGTTCAAGGTTTTATTTACTTAAAAACAACCGTCAATATTTATTCTAAGATCACACATAAGTGCCTCTGGGAAGGATCTTCGTTTACCGTACGAATGCGGAACTACAGAACTGTCCTGAAAACTTGTATTCCTGTATTCTTTCCAATTATTGTATTCATTTTTAATACCTTGGCAAAATCGTCCAACGAAACAAACCTGAAAATGGGCTTCGATTTACTTGCCAAAACGAAGAACTCCGGGGACGCTTTTTTTGTCGAGAAGTTCCATAGGGAGTATGTCATATGTGGATCGTTTGTCAAATCTGAATACGAAAATAACTGTAACATGTGATCACTCGACGTTTGCCATAAACTGTTTTTAGAGCTGTATGGCAGAATCACTGAAAATAGACAGAAGTAGCTTCTCGGTCGTGTAATTTGATGAATGTATCAGTATCAGTTGTGACCTTTTGAAAAGACAAGATCAGGCGCACTATCGTTTCCTCATTGACATTCCATGACTGCACATGTTACAGCTCAAACACTTACAAACATCTTGAATACTTTTCGATTAATTAGTAATATATTGCTAACCGATGCTTTATGACGAGGATTGAAACAACATCATTGCTTCATTATGCTACATTATTACCTCACCTTATTATTTCAGGAATCTCGTATCTTTTGCCGAAACGTAGAACACCAGGCACAACTCTTTTGCCGAATCTGCAAGTGCGCTATCGTTAAATGCGTTTCGAGACTGCTGAAGTTCACGCGAGCTAGCTAAGCAGGCATCATTGGATGGAGGATGTCACTATTTTTCCTAGCCAAAAGTGACCAATAGATTTTCTTTGCTCTCACCGAAATTTAAAATTTAACGCTGCCAACGGGAAAGAACAGAAACTATCACTGATTTGTCCTGTAATTGTCTAGAATGTGTATGTATAAATGTGTATAAAGAATGTACAACTAACCACTACCGATTTGTAAGCTAATTCCCGGATTAGTTAATATTTACGGCAATTTTGGGGACAAAATCAATAGCTAGCCTTGAAACGCTTGCCCTTATTCGCTTTTGTTACTTCATGCGTGAATGATTCAGAGTTTCCTGTTCGCAACTTTTTCCAAAGATTTCTGTGTATTTTGGAAATTCTAATGGCTATGCCTTTAACAGATAGATTCCATATGTCCTCTAGTCCTCTTATAGATTTATATATACAGATTTTATACTGTGCATTTTTTACCATTTGTTTTTAATGAATAAATTCTTCCACAACTACTCGACTGCTTAATCTTCGTAGAAGGTCGCGCAGTAAATCGCAGACTTCCAAGGAATCCCTGCCCTTTCCATTACAATACGTGACAACTTTTGGCGAATTCTCAGCAGATATGCACTAAACATGTGACAAGATTGTATGGCGAGGCTTCCTCTATAAGATAACGTGTTTATAGGTCTGACGTTGCTTAATATATGAAACTGTTACGTGATGTAGGTTCTACACAACTCCCTAGTGATTGTTTGTCTTATTTGTTCTCCCGACCATTACTTCACAGCCGCACTGTTTCAATAATAATAAAAGCAAGCGAGAAAACTTTGTTGGGTCATTGAACCAGCTGTTTCTAACAGAGTAGTGACCAACAATGATGATTATAGTGAAGTGATGGTCAGTCTATGGCCCGAAACTGTATTTCTGCAAAACTCCACATTAGTGTTGCTTCCAACCATGTCTCCGCACGACGCTCGTTTAGTATCAAGAATCGTTCTCAATTCTGTCCAGGCTAAATTATCTCATCACAGGTTTAAAATTTAATCCAGTGGGAAGGAAGGTGAGTGTATAAATGCTTCTCAGTAGAATGATATAGAACCTTTTTTAAATTCAGTTCACATACAAGTTCATTTCTACCTTAGCTCAATGGGAGGAATTCTAGGACTCACTTCGGGTTTGCTTACCAAAATGATGCTTCTTGCCGCCTAATGTACTATTCATGACTTGGACCTTTTATCTCACCAGCAACTGATTCGTTTCCTGTTAGTTCCTTGAAGAAGCTTTTTATTTTTCATGTATGCTGACTTACTACTACCTTATCTAAAAGTGGATTGAGTTGTAGAACGGTTAAAGATAGCAATATGAGGACAATATAAGAGCACTAGAAAACAATGAGACTCATCAGATCACCTCAACATTCCTGGCATTTCCCTTTTTCCAAATCGCAATACTCCAGGAACGCTTCGTTTGCCGAATCGAAGCACACCTAAAACGACTTATTTTATAGAAAATGACATACTGATGACGTGGAAATCGAGTACGGTATCTGCTAAACACTACGAACCCGGCACACTTTTTTTGTTGGTTCGCTTCCCGAAACGGAGAACACCAGGAACTTCTTTTTTCTCAAAGCCCCTGCGTTTTCCAAATCTAAGCACACCAGGCATATCACCATCTAGATCTGAATAATAAATAAATTCATTGAACACAGTTAGCTGTTATTAAAATCTAAAAAAATTAATCTTCATTAAGTTCTTCGGTGTGAAGGAGTTAAAAGAGCATAAGTCAGTTTTAACAATTAAAGTTTAGAAAGCAGAAATTCTCGAGTTGAAACGCATACGTGCTTGTACCGGTTATCCGAAACAATTTTCACGGCACTTACATAAACCAGGAAAAAAGATCTGGTAAAAGTTCAATGAATAAAAGCGAACAGGAAGACAGACCAGCGTTGTCGACCACCAAACAATATGTTTCCACTTTTGCATTGCTTCGTTCTTTTTCTCCCTACGCGTTCAGATAAGGTGTTTTCTTCTTCCTCAAAATGCTGCTTGTGGTTATTTTCCATCCTATCGTTGAATCTGTTCAGAGTTAGTTGCACTGTTGAATCAACTGGCGAAAAATTCTCCCCGGAAAAGCATCGATGAAGCCGAAATCTTTTTTTCCCGAATAATTCGTCACCCATAGTTAACCCTTTGGTTAATGTGAGAAATTTTGCGGTATTATGACGTTATTTCTTTTCCTCTTGTGCTTTTGTTGCGCCAAGAGTGCTAACCACGGAAATTCATCGACAATGAGATCAATGTCGTGACAAATGAGTTGTCCTGACTCACGATGTTACATACGACCAAGTCGTGAATTCAAAACTGCAACATAGTGCTTAAACGTAAAGCTGCCTAACATTTTCGTGATGTACATGCAATCACTAATTGTGCACATCCTAGAAACTATCCACATACCACATTGCATTCATGGGTGACAGAAGAAACACGTGTTCTTTATCCACTTTAAATCAGAGCTCATTGAGTGAAATGAAACGGATCAGGTCTCCTCCATAGGCACACACATTTCACGCTGCCCTAGCAAAGTCTATTGAAACTTTTAACTCCCTGATTTTCTCCTTCGAAAATTGTTGTTGTAGAAAATTGCATAGCCACATGTTACGGCCTAGAAAATTGTAGATAGGAAAGTGTACTGAAGTACCTCGTTTCGCATAAATACGTTGCTCCTGCGGACCGATACCGAACAATGTCATAGCTTCTGTATGCTTTTCTTCCGGTATGTCGTAAACTATAAATGATTAGCATTAACAATAAATAAAGATGTAATCGAGATATGTCGAGGGACAATCTTTTTCTGTGTCTCATAGGTTGGATTTTATTGGTGAAGCCAAAGTTGTACTTAAAGGAAGCGCTTTATGTTTTCCACTGAGCACTATGAGTAGCTTTGTGGACTTAATCAACACAATCTGAGAAATAAAATGGCGACACGCTTTTCTCCAGTGTCTGCCCTTCTAAATGAAAAGTGGACCCTGCAAGGATTTATTATCCATTCATCATCTAGCAACGTCCGTTTATTAGAACACAGATTTGGAAGCTACGTCGAATTTACTTTGAAAGCAACGTTAAGTGGTTTATAAAACACTGGAAATTTCTTCATTGACACAGAGGATTCCGATCGAACTCCATACTTCCAGCATGAGAAAGAAGAACACAGTCGATATGAACGATGGAATTAATGGTAAAACGGTGCTAAAAAAGAACCATCTCGGCATGTCACGATATGTAAAAGTAAGGCAATTGATTAGACGTCGCTGTTTTAAGAAATGCTGAGGCGAAGATAAAATGTCGAGTTTTCATTGCTGGATATCTCACCCAATAAAAATACGTGAAAACAACGGACGGATTGATTCGAACATTGCCCGTTCGTATGAAACCAATGATTTCCAGAAACTTTCTAAATAAAACCGCTCATTTCAGAACTTCGGATACTTAGAAGTTTCGTCTTGGAGGATTCTATCTTGAAACAAGCCAGCTTTTTAGAGAATCGTACTTCCGATTTTTCAGTGAAAATTTGCCAGCAAAGAATTTAGGTGTAGTACCTTGCTCTTCTAGGTCAGCAGCATTTGCGAGTACGGTCAGAAGTATAATACTTGTCGACACCCGCCACATGACACCCTAGAAATCAATTAGAGAATTCAGAGAATTCCAAGAAATGAAAAAGTTGAAAGAAAAGGTTCGACAATTTGAGAACAAACAAGGAAGGAACCAAATAACTCAATCAAAAGGAGAAAAACAAGGGTTGTTCAATAAACATGTATTAGTCTTTACCGGCATATGAGATTATTGCTTCGCTCAAGAACAAGATAGGTTTTGTGCATTAAATTCATCAGACCAGAGCACTGCATCACCATGAATGTGTAGGTGCTCGAAGTAAACTGAGTTCCCACCCAGCAGTCCGCATTACCGTAGCTGAAGGCACAGAAACCAATAAACGTCGCTTCATAGATGGACACCTGACAGTTTGAGTGACTTTTACGAGGCATTTCTTGCCAACAGTTGGTTATTCACATAGTGAACACTGCGCATCACAGAAAAATCTACTAAATGTGGGCTGATTAATGACGATGCAGCACACATCTGAGCATACCGTTTGAGAACGATGTCATTCATCAACTTTGTAGTTTGGTTAGAAGAAGCTCCGAATCATGTCTATTTGAGAAGTCGGACAGCAAAAACATGACTGAGAAGCAAGGAAAAGGGCTCGAAGTGGATATAATTCATTGCCCGCCCACTGGTCGTGTCCACAGTATGATGCTATTCGTCAAAGTGTCCCAAACGGCCAGATCATTTCGAGGTTCAGTTGTCGTTAAGGACGCTCCAACTTGCCCATATAAACTTTCGAAGTACTTTTTGAACAAACTTGAGAAATGTCCGACATGTTTCGATGACGAAGAGAAATGCATCCTATTTGTAATCATCTAGAAGAAATTTCAGTTCTTCTTGTGAAAAGTATCTACCGAGAATCATCTACTGTGCTCGTCAAGTGATAAACTTGCATTTACCGCAACTTGAACTTTCGCAAATCTTTTTGACTACTGGTGCATTCAAGTAGAGTTTTATAAAATCACATGAGTACTTAATGAATAGTTTAGTATTGACAGATTTTAATCCGTAAAGAATACTGTAAAATGTTTTGGATTCATATCATTCACCACCAGCCGACTCTTGCAGTTGAATTATTTGAAATAAATAACTAAAGAGCAAAGTCAGTTATGTACGTAGAGCTGTAGTGTTTTGCTTTTACTTCTATAGTCATTATCACCGATTTTAACACAAGAACGACTTCCATGCAAAAAAGTTGTTCACGAAGATGTTTATTTGGTTCCTGGGGCCTGTGCTTTTGTCTTAACAAAGCACACAAAATGTTAGGTTATAGTAAATGCATTTATGCCATCGTCTCTTAGAAATTAATTATGTTTTAAAATGTTTTTTTTTCAAAATAGTCAGCTGTGAACACACTTGAATGTGAACGACTCGAGATGCTCCATTAACTAAATTTCCAGCAAAAATTCAAATACATTTGGTGGTGAAAAGAAGAGGAGATAGTGATGAAACGAAAAAAAGCAATTGGTCTTGAAATCGAATTCGTGAAACTATCGGAATAGCTAGCTCCCAGAGGGTATCACGAAATGGCTAATGTATTAGTGCAGAGATACGAAGAAGGAGAATAAACTACGATGAGAACGAATAAAATTCTATAGAGAAAAAGTACTGTTATGCACACGATGAAGCTTGTGCAAGAAAAAATTTATCCTTTTATTGCTTTGACTTCATCATTCATTGCTATATCTTTATAATTGTTGAATGAGTAACGCCGGAGGAATCCTTACTTATTTTATATGAGGAATTACTCAGCTCATAGTAGCGAATCGTGGAGCATTCTACATTGAAAGTAGAACCCTGGGACTACTGGTTCAAAGTGAAAGAAAACGATCTATTGACCTTGTGTGGCTAGAGTTTTGAGTTTGAATCTGAGGCCGCAGAAGTATTGAAGCTAAAGGGAAGGTTGGTGAAGTTTGTACATTAAGCCCCGTAGTAATACACAATTTAGGCCGTCGTTGAAACAGCAGCAGTGTTTTTTCACATTTTATTGTGTTTAAACAGTTCTTGCACATTTTATTCACATACCACTTTAGAGCATGAATTCGTTCTACTTATATTTTTTTACAATTGAATTTGAGTCCATTCAACAACCAATTTAGACCAATGGGATAAAAATGGGAAAAGGTAAATCCGAGCTAATCTTCGTACGAATGTAAACCCAAGGAAACTGCTCGCAATAACAGCATTTCGTTTTAGGCTTTTCTGATGAAAGTGAGCGTCCCGGAAATGGGGATGTCCTGAAACGATTCAGTTCCACCGACGTTGACGATTTCAAGACATTAAGCGAATCAGATCCACGGACGGTGTATCAGAGTTTACGGAAAAACTACGCGCAGCTGAAACAACAGCTTTACTTTCCGAGCATCTTAACCAAATTGGAAAATCAAAACAAGTGGAAGAACGTCTGCAGAGTGAATTGGATGAAAGAGAAAGAAAAGCAACCTCATGGATTTGTCCTTTGCTCCTTTCTATCACCAAAAAGGTTCCTAAATTCTCTTCTCTCAACCGTCAACCAACTTTTTGCTCAGTGGTTCATAGAAAGGAAAAGTGCTGAAACCATTTCTTAACTCACATTTGCACTAAAAATAGCATGCAATAACTCTTTGATAGTCTCATATGAAATGTTCTGTTTTTTTTTGGACCAGTTACACGAAACAATCAGTTTAGCCAAATGTTACTAAAAAATCAACGAGGTGCACCGAAAAGGTGTTCGACAGACTTTCAACCATCGAATGTGAACCATTGCATTCAGTCTGACCATATCTCTTAGAATACTGCTTCATCTAAGGTGCCTAAGTTTTTATGAGCCTAGTTGGAAATGGCTTCGAAATCTCTTCTCTAATGTCTTGCATTCAGAAACAGAAAAAAATATCTTATCTCACACAGGATCACTGAAGGCGAATTAAATTAGACGTTTTGATCTGAAATCCCATATACAAGTATATTTGTCTCTTGATTTCTAGTCTGTCTGCGGTTATCTAGTTATCTGTGGCTAACATATCTCCAGAAGCAGGAAGATAATGATTCCCTACACCGATGCTCTGGCGCCTTGTCGTACATCAAGCGAGGGCTCGAGTCACTTAATGGTGGTGATGGGTGACAAGGGTGATGGTGATGAGAGCAAGCCCACGTGCTTCGAATTGTCGTTTTGAAAAAAATGCGGGCTTGCAGGAAACTTCGACCTTGGCATCCTTAGGACAAAGAGCAGCGCTGGAAATATTCATAATCGTTATCAAGGCAAAATCAAAAACTCGCTGAGTTTTCGATCGGAAGAAAAGAGTTCACTATTTCCGATATAGGAAACAACCACTCGGTTAAAAAAACTCTGTAAGGTGAAATTGGATGGAAATCGAAAAATTTTTAACTTGAAGAAAGGTGAAGGGGCTTTGGTTGATTGACAATGTAAAGATAAAGATACCGCGTGTGATATTCAGCGCTATAGGAATGCGACATGCATTCGAATCCACTGACTACCATATTGTTGATGAACATTTGACCTTAATGCCTTATGGTTGCTTGCAGATCAATACAGAAAGTCGGTATTTTTACGCTCTAGAACAAGTTTGGTGGCAGCATGCTAGCCTAAGAAGCATAGAATGGTTTCAGACGTGAAGTCGAACTACGGTATAGGTGTGTGTTTCGGGGTGCCTCAAATTACTGCCAAATTTTTACCATCTATGATTGAAAACATCGTAAAAAATTCAATCAGATTAGTTGAAGGAGAACTCACTGGTATTTAAATTGTCCTTAAGATGAGATACTGGTTGAGAATAGACATGCCGGTCGGTGAGTTTGTCAGTGTCCCGAACTCTCAGAAAAGACAAAAAAGAGACCATGTGGATGTATTCATTAAAGCACTATCAAAATAGTGTTGTTCATAAAATCTGATGGATATCATAGAAGAGATATTTCTTAGGTACAGCCCCACATCATTCACAGCGTTCACCTTCGGTGAGGCCTTTTGGGGTTTTATTACGTTGACTTCGAATTGTTTGAAATGAAAAAGGTCTTATTATGTTAACTTCTAGAACTTCTTCTTCTACTGGTTGCGGTGCAATTGCTACGTTTTGTCCACTTGGATACATTCGTTCCGTGTTGCATTTCTGGAATCTCTTCTTCCTGACCGTTACGTCCCTTGTTCATTCTAATATCTTTCTGTTAACGGCACATATTTTGAAAATCTGAAAAGATTCGCCCTTTGCAAAGTCTTACGTGGAACGCCATCTGGCTGCGGAATCATTGCTGCTTTCGTCTTGTTCTTTCACTAGGTCTCTACTTCTGTAGTTTGACCACTTTATTTGGTTGATGTCTCCTTTGCATCATTTCACTGCATTTTTGAAACTTCCGCTTCTTCGAAGCTATTGCCGATTCCCAATCTTCGTGTTATCTGCGCCTTTATTGAGCTCGCCGTATAAGTGTTTTTTAAATTTTGTAATAAAGGCTTAAAAACACAGATTCAAGGTTTAACAAGTGAGTCTACATTTGCAAGCACTGTTTCGTTGCGCGAAAGCAGCATTTCCATTGCTCTGCAGGCATATTGCGTGATCGGCAACTCATTCGTTCGATGTCACTATCAATTGCTTTGACTCATAACCAGTATAGTCTAATTCGCTGGGTGTTACATCTCCTTTACGCAAAAAGAAGCACGATCCTTGAAGATGGCCTGCAATACACGTTGGTCGCCAATTTGAACCTGCTTTGTGTGTGTGCTAAACCTCTTATCGCTCTAATGTCGACAGTTGCGTATCGGACACCCTTGAAAAGGCTTCCATTGACCCAGATTAGCAACTATTAACTGTGATAAACACCAGTAACATTCTAGTACGGTTATTTTAAAATTCTGGAATTTTGGGAGTGTTAAATCGACCGGCATTCAAATTAAATTCGTGATGAAGAAAAAGTCCTCAAGTGGTTGCAAGCGCTACACATATGCCATAACACCTCTATGGATGACAGCTGCTGGACAACTAATCAATTAGCAGATGTGCTGTAAGCAACAGATGTAA